AGCACTTAAATATGTCGCCGGCTGCTTTTTGGCTTTATGCGAAGACTGCTAACTCTGAAGACAATGTTCTGAAGGAAGTCTTTCTGAACAAAGCTACCTTCAAGGGAGATCAACCGTATTTTCGTATTCGTTTCTTTTTAGGGGTCCATCTTTTAATTCTACCACTGCTACATCTGAGGAGTGTGGTGCAGGCACCGAGGCCAGCGGTCACCTACGCGGCCGCACTACCGGAGGCTGCAGCATCAGATGCGTGCACACGATGCTGCAGCTATAATACCTATTGGTGCGAACGGGTGTAGCTTCTGACCCGGTGAACATGTGCTCAGAATGGAGCGCTATTCTTGACTGGCCCGCTTGGCCCTTGCTGCTCCGCGGAAGAACAATGATCATCACTGCAAATGCCAGCAGACCAAACTTTCTGCCATAGAGTTTCATACAATAATACCCAGAGAGGAATGTGGTGCTGCGGTCGTGTACTCTCATGGGAATTATGGGAAGTACCGGCGTCGGGTCGGATCGCGTTAGCCAGTGAACTGTCTACAGATATTTTTCTGCAGTTTCAGTTTCGTTCTTCGCATGGGATGGGTAGTGGAGTGAGTGCAAATGACTTAAGCTGCGCCTTTGTTCTTCAAAGAAGCTAAAAGCTGCTAGGCCTTTCAATTCACTGCACGCTGGATCTTTATAAAACGTGTTTGACAGTTTAAGCGAAGCGTCGTCCACTCAACGCTGCGCATAGATGTAGCGTCACATGCCAGTGCAGGACATTACACAAATTTCACATTTGTTGTTAGTGCGTCTTGCCAAAACTCATTGAAATCAACTGCAAAACGACGGTGACGCGAAGTAGACGCGCCGCCACGCTCTTTTGACTCGACTTCAGAACAAAACGAGAGGTGCGTCGGGGGCAGACCACTTGAACAGACGCACCTGGCATTGCAGCAGACAAAACGCTAAGTGTTCCTCACCTAATACTGTGCTTGTATTTCTATAAATAGATATTGCGTACTTTCGAGGGCAAACCAAGAATGTTTTCAAATGTTGTAAGGAATAATTCATTAAATTTTGATGCCAAATCTGGAACGCAATGGCAGAGCAATGCATGCCCTGGTGGTTATATTTGTCGAGGTTTCACTTCTGCCGCCTAGTCACAAAAACCGTTTGCAACAATGTTTGCGTACAAAAAATGAAGCAAGTTTTCATTTGATTTAACTGCATATTACTTTGTTTCACACTCAGAAAAGAAGCGTCGCAAATCTCAAGAACGTGATCCATCCGAAGCAGATCCGAAGCTTGTACTTCCCATCGTTCCCATGCGAGTACAAGCGCCGCTGCAGGAGCCCGGGCAGACACTAGCGCCAGATTCCACCCTATATGTATTATTGTATGAAACTCTATGCTTTCTGCTATGTCGGTGGAGGACATGCTGTTCCTTATCTTAGTCAGCAGACCATGATTTGGAAGTTGTTACTCGCCTCGGAGGTTATGGTACTTGAAATGCTGACCCGAAGGCCTCGGAATCGATACCCGGTCACGGCGGCCGCATTTCGATCAAGGCGAAAATGCTACTCGTCCGAGTCCTCAGATTTGGGTGCGCGTTAGAGAACCGCAGGTCGTGGAAATGTCCCGAGTGGTCCGCTAAAGAGATAATCATCACACTGGTGACAGATCCTCGGGGGATAAAGGCAGAGCCTAGTGAGGTCAACTCGCGAGGAGGATCCCCCCAAACGCCTCCCGCTCACACAGACGAGGGGAACGGAGGGGGAGATTGTTACCAGAGTGCTCTGGTGGCTTGTACCGTCCGTTTCACCAGCTGCCGAGGACGAAACCACCAGCGCTCTGCCTATCTCTCCTAGAGCAAGTGCAACAATGTGGCCAAACTCGTCAACGAAATTTCGCCGTGTCCATCACCGCGGGGGACAGTTGGACTTCTAGGAGAAAAGATCCCCGCTTCCTCAGAGTAGGCGCTGGAGGTCGCTCGCACTCACTAATGCTTTACGTCGTTGCCACGCAATCCGCGATCCCCGCATATCCCCCGAAGATTTCTCCTCCGTGAAGACGACAGAAAATAGCCTTTTCTAATCTATTCATCAGATCACAATCCTGACTACGCCCACGGTAGGGCAAAGGCCCCCTCCGATGATCCGCCAATCAGACATGTCTTGTGCTTTCTGCTGCCACGTTATACCTGCGAAATTTTAGGTGCGAAGCTTCTTATAGTCTAACCTTGTGACTAGTCACGCGTAACCGAGAGAAGAGACGAGAAAGAAAAAAAGAGGCAGAAGAAATGGATGCCCGTTTCTCGTCTTATTTGCTATATGGCGCTACACTGCGGCTACTCTTAAGGTCCCTACATGAAAAAGTTTTATCTAGGGACCTTAGCTACTCTCCAAAGTGCAGCTACTCTCCGATTGGCTGCTGCGCGCGCTTTGCCGACGAGTGCCTCTCTCAGTCTCCTGGATAGTCGCCGTACCTGGAGAATCGATGGTGAGCCATGGACGGAGTAGAGTGGCGGGTGCGTTGAAGACGCTTGCGCTCGGCTTCTTTGACTCGCGTCTCATCGGTGTTACCTGCACGCCGTCTGAATTCTCGAACGTGATCGGATGCATGCACGGACGGACGGATACATGGACAGGTGGACGCTTCGCCCCACTCATCATCGTTCACTCCGTGAATATGCTGTGATTTTTTAATCTCATCGGCCCACATAACTTGGTCTTCCCTTCGTGCGTTTGGCTTCTCTGAGAATTCAGTCAGTTATCTTTAGTGACCAGCGGTTATCCTACCTCCGTGCTACGTGCTTGGCCCATGTAGATTTCTTCTTGTTTTCAACTATGATATCCTTACCCCCGGTTTGTTCCCCGACCCACTCTGCTCTCTTCTTGTCCCTTAAGGTTACACCTATTATTTTCCTTTCCATCACTGGCTTCGTCGTCCTAATATAATGTATTCATAGTTCGAAGTCAATCGCCCCCTGCAAAAGACGCACATTCTACTCCAGATCATGTATTCGTTGCATAGCAAGTTCGGAAAGATATGTGTTATAAGTATTTTAAGTACGCACTAAGAACAGAATATCGATATCTCATTCAACTCTTATAGGCAAAGCTTAGGGGTCCCCGCCCTCCGCCTTCTTATCTACAGAACTACTTACAGTCCGTTTCGTGGCTAATCCCTCACGGTGGGTTGCGCCAGAACTCTATAGGGAACAACCAACTAACATTTCTCCAGCGTGAACCAAATAGCCAAGCGACACGTTCTCGTTCGCAGCGCTAGATCGAATACCGACCGCGGTGGTCGAATTTTTAATGGAGGCCAATGTACTTCGATTCAGATATACATGTTGAACACCAGATGGTCGAAATTTTCAGAGCCCTCCACTGCAGAGTCTCTCACGATCAAATCGTGGTTTTGGGGCGTTAAACCAATTAAAAACATTGCAGTGCGGTATATATTCGATCCAAGGCCAGGCTTAGATGGAATATAGCAAATAAGTGCCTGCCTTTACATTCGGCCGTTCTCATGGAGAAAGACACTAACATTTCAAAGACACTAACATTTCAATGATTTTGAATAACATTTCAATGAGTTTCATTTCAATATGAAACTTTCAATTTACCGTTTCTTTAGCGTTTAAAGGAAATTTCATTTCGTCATCGAAGACTAGTCGACGAAATTCTGGTATCTAGTATATGGGACGCTTAAAACGATCTGGCATTCAGTAGAATGTTCCTCTGGCATCTGTTGGTTATAGGTGGGCTGACAGATTGTTGGTAGCTGGTGCGGAGTAACGACTTCCACTTGACCATCACGAAGTCTCAATCAATCAATCAATCAATCAATCAATCAATCAATCAATCAATCAATCAATCAAACAGCTTATTTTCCACTTCACAAAGTAGAGGGCATGGGAAGAAAAAGCTGTCAGCTTGACTAGGTTTCCCAGACTGTTACAATTCAAGTATCATACAGAAACTGACGTACGCAAATAAAAGCACGAAAAAGCATGCGTTATTCTTCCACATAGTCACAAAAAAACTACATGTACATGCGATCTAGGAAAAAAAAAGACAACACATTAAAGACAGCTAAAAACTGACATTTTAGTTATCTTACGAAGAAAGCATGTAGCGCAAGCACGCAAGATCGACTTTTCCCAATAAAACTTTTAATGATGGTACGAATTTTTGTAAGGGACGCCTAATGGCCGACGCCACAGCTCGACGACCGGTTGAAGACCTCGCTCGCGCGCTTTGCCAACGATTCAGCCGTGCCTCTGGTCGATCCAGGGAAGACGAATCTTGTTCGGTCAGCCAGCTGCTGCGTGGACATACAAAGCATCGTGAAATTTTCTTTTATATTAACGGGTACGCGTTGCAACGTTATCTCTTAGTGGAGTGTGCAGATGAAGGTTGTATATTGTATACGTACTAATTTATGTGACGGCTGGTGCCTGAGGTTCACGACCTGCAAGTAACAGAAGAACGTTCCAGTCTGTCCAGCATTCAGTTATTGCAAAGGCGTCGCGTAATACCGAACATCATGTTGTAGATTGCGCAGTGTCAAGTGAGGCCAGCTGTAGAAGATAAAATGCAACTAACAAACGCGTGTCTATTACGGAAGCGCCCATCGTTACTCTCTAAGCATCGATCATTCAAGTATGGCTCTCGATAATCGTGCCGAATCCTTTGCTGTTGAAAGCTAAGGACAGTAATCTAAAGGTAACAAAAGGATCAACGCGGAACTAAGGAGCGAAAGAGCGTGCGACGTCCACTTGATATAATTGGGGCGGAAGACTGTGCTGCCATGTTTTCCGAGAACGCGCCTACGCAGTTCACAGCCATTATTGCTTCATACAAAAAGCATTTTGCGTGTAGGAGAGCGCTACACTAATGTTGGGGAGGCTTCTTAACAGAAGAATGAAGTGGTCTATCGCTTTTCTCATTCCAACGGGGCCTTCGGCAGTTATAGAGAGCAAGACGTGCACGAGGCCACGTACTCACTGGCCGCAGGGCGGCCTCTGACTGTTGCAGGTGACCTTCTCGATGTTCTCCAGCTGCTTCTCGGACTTCTCGACGTTCTCCTCAGCGTTACCGGCTTCCTCGATGTTGCGCTTGATGGTGCAGCCGACTTGGTCCAGCTTTGCCGCCTCGTTCTCGCGCCGCGTGGTGATTCGCTTGGCGGACGCCGTCTCCACCAGCGTGCGCTTCTTGGTGACCTGCGTAGTAACGCCCCAAGGTCACGTGAGCTCCGCCCCGTGCGCGCTACGACGCTGCGCGTTTCCTGACCTGTCCCTTGGCCAGGGTCTTCTGATGGATCACGTTGTCGAATGTGTTGGCCTCCTGGAAGGCCTCCTTCATGGCCTGCTTCTCCTCGAGCTTGCGCACCTCGGTCCCCTCAAGCTTGTGCTGGTAGAGCTTGTCGTTGTCCACGTTCTCCTCGTCCAGCATCTTACGCACGTCCACCGTCACCGAACCGGACTCGTCGCGGTCGAACACGCGCTCCGTCGGTGGGCCCGGAAGGAGCTCCTGCTTGCGAGCTGTCTCCGGAGACAACTGCGAAATACCAAGGGGAGAGCAGGGTCCGCGCGTGAACGAAGCACCATGCTTACGTCTATAAGGAAGATCGTGGACGTGTCGTGTATGAACTCCAGATATCTGTCGCTATGGAAGTACCGCAGAATATACATATTTGCGATGAATTCCAAAGATCTGTAATTAAACATATGAACCGCAGTACATGGATCATCTATATATGTGCCATGATAGCTCGCTCTAGAATCGCAATACTAATATTCCAATAGAGCTTTCGACAATGAGTAACATCTGCAAGGATGGTAATGCCCCGGGATCATGTAGAGCATTGATCTGTCATGCATGCATTCGAAAAATTTCGGAATAGAATGTACCGCAGTATAGCCGACAATGATTTGAATATATAGTGTAAAGTGCCAAGCAGACTTGACAAAAAAGATTGATTCGTACGACATACAGTCAACCTAAGTAAACTATAGGTAATCAGTCGTTGCTATGGTTGCCTGCATGAAACGGAAGTGGTTTCTCCTTGATGTACTTACCATCGGCACTGATGTCCTGCAGACATCGCGAACAAGACATCAGAAGGATCGTGCACAGTAATCGTGCGATCTCACCTTCAGTTACATCGAGATTACAAACCTCAACTGAAGTTACGTATGCGTTGAACCAAAACGCAGGTAGAATTATGTAAAACTTCGAGCTCAAATCGACGACTCGATTGCGAAAAAAAAAAAACCGCCAAGCTTGCGCATGACGCGCAGCCCAATCACAGTGAGCCATTCAGAGCGTTTTCTGTAGACGCTCTTTGGGTAACTGCTACAAGCACACTTGCTGAGTGCTTAGTACGCCATAAGTAATCGTTTTTGCAACGAAATGGAGCATTGAATTACCCACTCGTTACGCAACTCATAATGTGTGACGCCTGGTTGCTCCTAGCTTTGGTGTTCTAAAACGCTAATTACTCACACTAACGCGATTATTTTACTGACATCAAGCCTTCCTATGGCAGGTTTGCAACGAAGTATCAAGCACCGGTGTGGCTCTGCGGTATAATACTGGGCTGGGACCTCAGTTAGAATCCCGCTGTGTTCTTGATGTTTTGTGCGTTAGTGGTTGCAGCCACCGGCGGCGGACAACTACAGCTCCGCAAGTGACCCTTGTGATCTCATAACAGCTTTCGCGGTAAAACGAAAGCGTATCTCGAGCGCTAGTGATGGGTGCTTCCCTTCTTTCTGCGTCGTCAATTAGTGCTCGAAGTTTCACATGAGAATGCATTATTATTGAACAATCATATGGACAGTCTCAGCTGGTTATTCGCCCTCACTACCGCCGTCATGCGCCGTATGTACACCTATCTATATATATGAAAACTCAAGAAAAAAAAAAGCTGCCCGCTCTCGGCGGCCAGCTCGTTAGTGGGAAGGGGGGGGGAGGGAAGCTTAGATGCTTAAAAAATAAAAGTGGTTATTAAGAGAGAAAGGAAGAGAAAGGAGAGCCCCGTAACTGTCTGCTTCAGCGAGCGACACCTCAACAGCTCTTGCGGGCGTCAACAGATGGCGTAGAGCAAGTCCAGTAGGTCAGAGCTACACTGTCGTCGAAGGTCGTCGGCGTCAGGAGATGACGTAGGGCGAGCCCAGTCGGCCAGAGCTACGCTGACGCCGGAGATCGCGAGGGCACAACCGGTCGGCACGGAATCCAGCGAGCGAGTCGCTTAGATGCTTGTGCGCGCGCGCTTATCCTACGGTGGGGCTATTCGCACGCCTTCAACTTTGACAGGAACGATTGCTTTAAGTCCGGGCGCCTAAGATCTCTTCGCTCGCTGAAGAGGCGCCATTTGCGAAAAGTGTGATTTTCAAACTCAGTGAAGTAACAACAGGGGCGCTCGTTAGTTCGCACTCATATCTGTACCTGTGATTACGTTTCGTGCCTCGCTTTTGTTTAAACAGCGCGTTAAGTGTCGAGCTGTAAACGTTGTTAGTTCGCTCTCCTAGTGTCTGTGCTGTTTTCGTGCGTCATTTGTGGGTGAGCAGCGCGCTGCGCGTTTCGACATGCTGGCCCTTCTCAACGTTACAGTTCAAGTTGTTGCTATCGCAATCATTGCTTCGCCCTTGCGGTGAAACTGCGACTTTTTAAATACGCCACTTAGCCATCTTGTTACGGGCGGAAGCCCATTGCAACATGAAGGCCGTCTTCGTGTGGTCTGTGGATGTACGTATAGGTTTACTAGCGGGACAAGAAAAAAAAAGCTAACATGCGACGCAAAAATACAGTGTATACGAGTGTTGGCTAAGAAACCGGTATTCGTAAGATTACTCCCCGACTGTGTTTAACAAGGTCAACGCGGCACTTTTTTTCTTGGCGCTGTGCTGATTTTTTTTTTGTGTGCCATCGGATCGCGTTGCTTTGTCGAGGGTGAAGCTGGGGATGCTGGCCGTGGACCGCCTCATTCTCATCGCCATCGAGGATTTCACTGGTGGAATAGCGGAAATAGTTGTGCTCTATGCGCAAACATTGAGCTTCTTCGGCGAACCGCATCAGACAATTACTCAGACAAGTCGAAGGACATGTCTTGTGAGCCTGAGGTTGAAGGCAACAACTGCTCATGTTTAGCGGGCCCCTCCAAACGATGCTAGCACATTTGCGCTGCGTTGCTGCTATACCAGCAAGGCCTTGATAGTTATCAAGGTAACTGCGCTGCGAAGTTGTCCCGTCAAAAGCTGAACACGCATGCCGCTCACTTGATTACAGGACGGAGCTATGTCTGGGCAAGTATCTCTTGAGATGAAGCAAATCGTAGTTTTTATTGTAAGAAGAGTGCTGCTTTTTTTTTCCATTCGCCGATGCATGTTATAGGTTTCTAACGAGTATGAACATTCGCTTGTTTCTGGTGGCAGTAGTTGATATTCATTGAAGATATATGCACGCACACTAAGCACGCGAATGCACGGATATAGGATGTATACGCACGAAAATACATACACACAAGCCACGCGCGCGTTTGTGTGCGTGCATGCGAAATCAAAAATATTTGGAGGATAGGATTACAGCAGCTTAATTGGAGAATGGGTAGCTCTGCGAGTTGTACAGAAAACAAGCATACAAGAGGAATACACACACCCGTAACGCAACAAATTTACCTAAAGCGCTCGCTTATTTAAATAAAACTATACTCCGTGCTTAAGGAAGCCCGAATATTAATAAGAATCCGCAATAATAATGAGCTCACCGAGGATAAGTAAGTGATCGCATTGATTAAGTCATCGCGATTGATTAGAACAGTGTCCAACGCCTTTCTAATATGCGCCGTTCTCCGTCACGCGTCGTCTGCATTCATCAAGAAGGTATACATAGAACGATACGTTGCCATCTTTCTATCACGATGCCATGGACGCATTACGGCACACTGTGATGGTCTTTGGACATCGTTTTCTTTTTTTGGGTTCGCACGTGTGGGAAGGCGAAAAAAAAAAGGGGGGGGGGGGACTATGCGGCCGCCAATTGTCAACGCGCGCAACGTGGTAACAAGTATCCTTTCAATGTCGAACCTGTTAACGCCGTTGCTAGGTGCGGCCGTTAGGTGGCGACCGCTTAGTTGGTGTCGCGAATAGTCGAATTGGAAGTAGCTGCCGGTTAGGCCTATAGATTGACTCCTCGTCTCGCTAAAAAAAAAAGACAAAAAAGTGCCCACCTTTGTGAGCATGGTCTCGTAGTTAGCGAGCAGAGGATGCGGCAGCGGCTGCGGATCGACGGGCTTCCCGTCAGTGCACAACTGCTGGACGCATTCTGCGGCCAGGTCCGGGTTCTCGTCTACCAGCTCGGCCTTGGACGTGGCCCGCGTGATGGTCGTCGTTGTCACGTTCACCTGGGTCGTCGAGGTACTCATGGTGCCGGTTGTAAGGGAACCGCTGGCTGGTACTCCGAGAGAAGGGTCTCCACGGACCGGGGTGGCGGTGCTGGCTGCAGGGGGACACGTCCGGCTACCTCGCTGGTCCCAGGTCTTCTGAGCTGGCAATCTCGAGCCGTTTCACGGCTCGCGGAGGTGCGTGAGCTCGTGGCACGAGCTGTGGGATGGCGATACGGCTGTAATACCCTTTGGATCGGATCGCCTGCGCTCCATGCGCGGCGTAGCCTGACCAACATGAAAAAAGAAAAAAAAGGAGTTGGCTGTTGGTGATGACGATGCTTCTGGGATTAATAGCACCTACCAACTCGAGGGATTCAGCCGAGAGTCACGCGGAACGTATAGTCTGAAAATGTTTGAGCACTAATGGAAGGAACAGTGTCCTATGAAACGTTTCTTAGTTGATTCGTTCGTTCCTGAGTAACCCGCCGCAACTGCCCTGCAGTCTGGTGGGCCATGAACCCACCAGACTGGTCGGAAAAAGTTACTGAATCAATTGTCAATGAATTCCTTTACTGATAATTGGCTACATTACTTGGTCATACATTTGGTTAGGAAAAATGGAATTGGAAAAGAAAAAAAATGGCAGATCCCATGAACCATGGGAATCGATGTTATGCGAAGCGTGCGGAGTCCGGAAGGTGACTGTGGTGTAATTTTTTTACTGAACAAAACATTGCAAAATAAAATGTAAGGCATGTACAAATGTCGTAAGACCAGACATATTTTAAACAGTCGAATATCTTTTACACAACCAGTTATTTGCAGTTGCGAAACGATGTCAACTGCAACACGGGCATGGCCAACACAAGAAGCATGCAGTTAGCAGTTATGTTGCACTTCTGCTGGCGAGTTATATCGTAGCCCTGGTTAGAGCTACTTAGGTCAATACCAGTGGATGGTGCTTAAGTATACAGTCGACGTTAACAACCAGTTAATTAATTAATTCGGTTATCACTTAACCCCAACAGCTTGGCGATCACTGAGGCCATTATTACGAGCATGTGCTCTCACGCACTGGTGTGGAGGTAAAATATGGCAAACTGTAAGATAAGGCGTGCCAAGAGATTGATATACCACCTTCACCCTAAATCCATGCCCACCCCTCCGGCATAGCACCTCACGTGAATTTCTTTCAATACTAATTAACAAAAAGTGAAGAAACAAAATAACATGCATACAGTGCGAACGCACTTGCGTCAAACTCTGTAATTTCTGCACCGTTCTTTCCGCTCGGTAGCGGTGCGTTACAGATTACACCTGCTCAATCAGAGATGCGATAATGATCATGGGCGTACAACAAAGCGTGCACGCTTCACTAATTTTGTACCTAGGCCAATTGCTCTCTAATTGTGCGTGACTACGGATATAGCCACACCATGCGCATGGGTCGCAACAGGCACCTCTCATATCGGATGCAAAGTGCATGCGAAGAAGGAACGGAATCCGTTCAGATGACGTCGTTATGTATAGCGCGCGCACGCGATCATTTTGCAAATGTTTGACGAATGTTCGGCATTAAAGTGGCCGTGCAGTTGTGTTCGTCACCGGAAGACACAGCTACGCGTGTGTTTGGATTTCATACGCTTACCCCCGTATTCTAAAACCTCCCTTCCCTCGACGCCCTGGCTTCACTTGAAAAAACCGATGGGAGCGCCACCTCCAGGCATGCCAAGTCACTGCATATCAGTCATAGTCTGCTACAATTCTTGAGTAGCGCAGCGTCATTTTTAGCCGAGTGGTGGAGCAGTGCTAAACTATGTCAAGTGAAGGGTGAAATTCAAGTCGAGGAGCATTTGTGAATACGGGGGTTAGTGTTCGCTTGTGGGATTGGAGTTTTCATGATGACGATGACCTCGTATGGATGGCGCTCACCCACAGAGGGTTATGGGCTAAGAACCGGGAGGCTGGATGCTTAATAATGGTCTGTGAAACTAAAACCAAACTGGGAAATTAGTTTAAAAATAAAACTTCGAATAACCGAAAATGCTTACTGAGCAAGCGGTCAGACCATGTAAAGCTTCCTGGTATGGAAATAAGGGTGAATTACAAACCAAAAATATAAATAAATAAAGATAGACTAACACGGTAACCTTTTTCTTGCTTTGGTGTGTTCGAACACAGTAGAACAACCACCCTTGTGGTAGTAAGTGCCGCCAAGTGACAAAATTTCCCACCCATCCTAAGTTGTGAAATAGGGCTTTATTAATCTTTTTGTCTGCTGAGAATAGCGACGACAGAATAAAAATAAATGTTCTAGTGCTTGGCTTAAGTGTAAGAGAGGCGGTGTCAACCTTGAATTTGTGAATTTTACTGACGACATGGGGTAATCTAATGAAGTTAAAGGAACACTGACTTGAATTTGGAGTATATTAAGAATATTGCTCTAAATAAAGACACTGGTGCTGAAAAGCCAGAGATGAATAGTGTGGTGCACGTGAATGCACTAACCATATATCTAATACCGCTGCCACAAAGGGGCACTTGTGGTTTCGATATAGAGGGGGCGGCTTCACGGTGACGTGCCAACAGAAGGCTGACGTCACGGGAAGACTGCAACTCGCGACCCTTGCTCGCGACCTCCTCCGTGCTAGCGACACACTTTCGGCAACTTTGTCAGTCTCACCGTGGTGCACACGTGGCGCATCTTTTGCGACGAAATTAAAAGAATTGATCATTATTCTTTTTCTGTCGTAGCTATTATTATTAGAGAAAAATATTCCTATAAGCCCCAGTTTAGAAATTAGGAATAGTAGTAAATGTTACAGTAATTGTAGCAGCACTTCATTAGGTTACTGCCATAGGAATATGTACGCTCTGTATTTGACTACATGATCAAAGCAGCAAAAATATTACCGTGTGCGTTTTTTTACAGAACAGTTTATCCGATACCCAGTTTATAATTCGTCGTTATTTCTTTCAGGAAACAGAGATGGTCTGGCCTCTTGCTCAGTAGATCACTGAGGTCACTAGTTTGGTCGCGGAGGCATCCTGTGCTGTTCCGCAGATCAGGAATGCATTCGTGAGCTCCTCCAATGTTCCGAATTCGCAGCACATCCGGTAAGCCCATTTATTCCGGCACACCTCGCATGCTCGAAAGGATTAGTCCGCGGTGTAGACACAAGCCTGACACCTGCAGATGTGCTCGATTTGTTTTCGGTGGCGGGTGTAATTTCAGTGTACAGGTGCACCCGTACAATTGACAACATAAAATCACCAACGGAATCGGTGATAGTGACCTTTTTAGGAACAGTCCGACCTCCGAAATTAAGGCATGGCCACTGATCTATAAGGTAGAGCCACTTTCCCCAAACCCCTGCAGTGTTTGAAATGTTGGCGATATGGACATAGCGTCAGAGGGTGCCGATCAGTTCTTAGATGCCGTCTGTGTGGTGAAAATCATGACAGCCGCGAGTGCAGCTCTGAGAAGAGAGGTGCTGCTTATGTAATGGGGCGCACCCTGCAGACTTCGCAGACTGTGCAGCAAAAGAAAGGGAGCTTGCCATATTGGATATAGTAGAACGCAAGAGGTGCTCTCGGAGAGAAGCCGTTGCAGAAATGCAGGAGAGATCCAAAGGATATGCCAGTGTTGCAGCACGTAATACCACCGCCATGGATGCATCTCTCGCAACATCTATTGCAGAGGCCGTAGAGAAGGCTATGGAAAAGGCAATGGAACGCCTCGCAAACAACCTTTTTGAAAGCTTGGCACAATTGGTTTCCAATCAATTATCTCAAATTCTAGGTGTGGCATCTACGAACGATTGGGCTCCTCAGACATCATTGGTATCGCAGCGTACGGAAATAGAAAGTGCGACAACACGTCAGCGAGCGGTTTCTACTGAGGCAGGGACTTCCAAAACAACGGAAGACGGTGATCTTACGGATGATTCGGAAGCATGTGCAGATATGGATATGGACTCTCATAAGGCTCTGAAGCGAACCCGATCTCCCCAATAAAAAAACTCTTCGCATAATTCGAAATCTAAAAAGTATCTATCAAAAAAAGAATTCTTTGAGAACATGTCTAAGAAAGACTTTTTGCGAAAGGACATTTTGGACCAAGCAGCTTCTGCGACGGTTCTGTCGTCAAAATAGGTTCACTAACCATATTACAGTGGAATTGCAGATCTATATTTTCCGCAGCCACAGACCTATCATACCTTTCTTCACAACTTTCCCCGGATATTACATCACTGCAAGAAACCTGCCTTTCAACCAGCCAGAAGTTTCACCTAAAAAATTATCGGCTATTTCAATTGGACCGACCTAGCAGAGGTGGTGGGCTTGCTGTCTTGATAGCAACTAAGTTTAGTCACAAAGCTACGATCTCTTATCATTGTGTGACTCCAGATTGTGAAATTTTGATAGTAGACATAATATTACCAGACGCTTCTCCCTTGTCGTTTGTAAATGCGTATTTCCCAGCCGGGGTGCAAGACACACGAAGTCTAGACGATATGTTCTCTGCCTGCAGAAAGGATATATAATCACTGGAGACTTCAATTCACATCATGTGGCCTGGGGTTTTAAAACAGATTTAAGCGGAAAACGATTGTAGGAATGGGCTATTGACAAGAATTTATCTTGTTTAAATTCGCAATCTGCTACTTTTGTCCGAGGTCTCTCTAAATCTGTAATTGACTTGACATTTTCAAGCTCATCTCTGAATATATGTTCGTGGCAAACTTTAGACTGTGCTACTAACAGTGACCACTTGCCTATTAGTTTTGTACTGAACTTTCCAAGAATACATGTCGCCGAAAAGGCCCGCTCATTCCTCAACAATAGAAAATTAGAAAAAGACTTGAGGGCTACTTTTGATCACCGCAAGGACATACAATGTGACATTAGGGCTATGAGTCTGTGTGCAGTGTTAAAAAGATCAGTAAAAGACGCAACGTTTAAATTAGACTCGGCCACAAGAGGTTCTTTTAGTCCATGGTGGACTGAAGAGTGCACGAGGAGCTATAGAAAACGGAAAGCTGCATGGAAACAACTGCTGGTCAACCAATGTCCAAAAAAATTGGTGTGATTA